TCTGATGAAGGGTCTAGGCCCGAAACGTCAGCCTCTCTGCTCCTATGATGCTGCTTGGCCTGCTGTGTTCATCCAGCCCTGCACCTTGTTGTCTCAGTCATGAGGAGATGCTGGATAGGCTGGTTTGCTTTCCTTGGAGCAGAAGAGGCTGGGGGGAATCTGATTGAAATATACAAAATTATAAGGGGCATAGACAGACTAGATCATGAGAATCTCTTTCCCATGCAGTGGTGTTTAAGACTAGAGAGCATAAGTTTAAGGCTAGGAGCAAGTAATTTAAGAGGACATCTAATAAATTTTTTCTCACCCAAAGAGTGATTAAAAAAAAGATTGTGCTGCCTGACAGGACGGTGGAGGCAGGTAATCTCACAACATTTAAGAAGGATCTGGATGAGTCCTTAAAATGCCAGGGCATTGTAGGCTATGGGCCAAGTGCAGATTAATGGGATTAATAAAGTTTGGTGTTTGTTGTTCGACAAAGACATGGTGGCAAAAAGGCCTGTTTCTATGCTGTATGAAACTTGCTCTCCATGACTCTTTATTCCATATCAGATTCAGATTTAGCTTCACATTTGGACTGCAATAGCTCAGCATCATTTCCACTTAAATTAAACTGAATATTAAAGTAATTTAGTATTTTGCCACACTTCATTCCAACATTAAAGTTACAAAGTTCACAAAATTATTCTTGAATTAATTTAGACTTAACTATCATCACAATTTCACATTTACAACATTACATTTGGAAAACTACATACCAATTACAGTAAATGTACAAATAGCATGAGATGATCACGTAAAGCTCAAATCAAATAATGAACCAATCCTACCTGAACTTTGAGAAAATCATACAGCAAAGTAACTTGTTTGAATACAGAAATAGTGAAGCATATTTTGTTTCTCTATATGGAGTAACAGATATTGAGATACATGTTTTACGATTTGGGAAAGGACTGGACAGCTGAACTTGAAAATTAAATCAGTTGAGAATAAGAATTCAATCCACCACAAAAGTCAACACTTCCTTTTAAAAGTTCTGCATTGATTTTATCCTTGCATCCCCTTTTCCTGAAGTCATGACTTCCAAATGAAGCTTAAATACTTCCCACAGTACAATTCTGGTATTTCCAACTTTAACAGTAGTCTTTCTGAATGAGTTGCTGATATTCGTAACTTTACAGCTAAGTTACGTAAGTATATTCAGACTCACTTCATGTGGTAATGTCAGAAAGATTTAACTTCCATGCCAACATGCTTGGCTAAGTGCAGATATAGTTAAAAAATATAAAATCCATTATGCCACATACTGTTGTTCCTGACAGACAACAATTACAGGTTGATCTGTTAACCTTGCTTTGCGTCATGACAGCACAGCATCGTGACTAATTAATTATTCCATTTCCCAAACCTTACCCTCATACCTACAGCATTCAAGGTCCTTGGAGAGACAAAAGCTCAGTGATCCAAAGTTAAAAAAAAAGTTTAAAAATCTTTAATCCCCCTGGGTGATCAAAACTACTTCAGGAGATTATCCTATGTCATCCTTTAAATTATATTTACGAAACTTAAATAATGAGCCTCTGGATGATGACAAGTTGAAAGAGTGAATTCCACTGTCTTACCACATGTGTAGATGACATTGAGGAATTTGCGGATGCCTGGATAACAGGGATCACCAAACTCATAGGAACTTGCATATACATTGCAGCTTCTCTTCCCGTGGCATCGTTTAGTCATAATCTGTAAAGCTAAGGTTGACTGGCAGTCTGGAAGAAACATAATAATGTGGCATAAGTAATAATTCTGACAGCTGCATATCCCTATGTTTAATTGTTTCTGCAGCTACTGGTCAAAAGTAGCTGTCTTTTTGGACAAAATGCACGGCAATATTAGTCAATTTTCAAACTTTATTTTACATGCTCAGTATTCCTAAGTTTCAGTCCACCATATCACAGAATATTTACATTGTTGTACATTTTAGTCTTGCACACGTGATACTTGATTCCTTTGAACAGCAAGAAACGTACACAGCTAAGGATAAGAGCCAGACTAAAAAGGTAGGGTATTGCCAACACAAACCAAAGAATTCTTCCTTGCTTTCACTGTGGACAGCCATGCAGGTCTGCAATCAGGCTGCCCAGTCACAGTACAACACACAACAGATGACTATGAATGTAGAAACGGCCATCTTCAATAATGAAGGGAAACTGACAATTACTTGATTACAGTATATATTTAAAAATCAAAATCTTCTCCTATTCAGTAAGTATGTATAGCACTTACTGTGTTGAAATATTTTGTATTTATCACCCTGTCCTGTTTCTTAAAAACATTCAACATTTATCCAATGATGAATTTATGTGATCGTTGTATTACTCGACTAGTGATCCATGAGCTTTGAACTAATAATCCAGAGAATGTGAGTTGAAATTCCATGACTGCAGTCTCAGGTTTCAAATTTAGTATTGCTTTTAAATAGAGAAACAAATAGTTGCTTTCATTAAAAATGTTTTGAGGCATAAAAATGCAGCTGGTTTAGTAACATTCTGAATGAAAGAAACCTGCTATCCCTACTAAATCTGTGCATGACTCTAGTCCCATACTGGTGTGGTTAAATCTTAACTGGTGTTTGAAGTGTTCTAGTAAACTACTTAATTGTGTAACATTTTTCACCATGATCAAATTGATCTGCAGCTGTTTCAGAGGGCAGCCCATTACCATCTTCTCAGGGTAACAAGGAATAAGCAGTAAATGCTGGCCTTTCCAGAAATGTCAACAGGCTAACTAAATGTGACAATAATTTTGTCTACAACATTTCACAAAATATAAGAGATGTATGGGACGCAGGAGATACATGAGGGGTCAATATGGTTATTTTGTTGTGTGTTGAAGAAAAATGTTGATAGGTTTCATTGTTCTTCCTTCTACACTACTATGAGTCATATCACATCCACCTGAACCACCACAGATAATTCAGGTTAACAATGTTTTCAAATAACAGCACTTCTAACAATGCACTACTCTATCAATAATGCATTCAAATGGTAGGCTAGATATCATGATCAATCCTTAAAGTGAGACCTGAATCATTAACCTTCTGACTCAGGGTTCTCAGTGCTGCCTTGAATCACATTGGTACCTGACACTATACATTATGAGTCTTATAGACAGGAAAATCAGTTCGGTGTTAAATCCCTCTTTGTGCTAAATTAATAATAGGACTACTGAAGTTAGGTTCAATATACCTGAAAAAAGAAACTACCAGCCAAGTATCTGATTCCTGATTGCTAAATGTGAGTGTATATGAACATAAAGTTAAAACCAGGTTCAACCATGATGCCATTCAGAAAAAAATGGTTCATAAATGCTTACTAAGATCACAGAGTTTTAATGACAATGGTGAGTTCTTATATTTGATTTAATTGGATTTATTACTTTCATGTATACTGAGTTACAGTGAAAAGTGTTGTCTTACATGCTTTACAGGCAGATTGTGCTATACAAGTGCATCAGGATAACAAAGTGCAGGATACAATGTTATAGTTACCGAGAAGGTACAGAGAGAGATCAACATTAACATTTAACATTCATTATTCTTTAAATTCAGGTTTCACTTCAAGGATTGATCATGATATCTAGCCTGCCATTTGAATGCATTATTGATAGAGTAGTGCATTGTCAGAGGTGCTGTTATTTGAAAACCTTGTTAACCTGAATTATGTCTGGTAGTTCAGGTGGATGTGAAATGACTCATGGTAGTATAGAAGGAAGAATAATGAAAACGAAGAAGAAGCTGTTCTTCAATCTGGTCATACATGTATCCAAACTTTTATATCTTCTATCCGACAGAAGAGGATGGAAGAGAATATAAGTGGGGTGGGAGGAGTCTTTGATTATTTTCGTTGCTTTCCTGATGCAGCAGGAAATATAGATGAAGTCAATGGATGGAAGGTTGGTCCACATGATGGACTGGGCAGTATGCACAACTCTGACATTCCAGTCAGTGGTTATCACTGAAGCCACCACTTGTCTCAGTCATTCACAAAACTCAACAGGGCAGAGAGCCAACCCAAATGGAACATTGCAGTTAGATTTAAACTAGTATGCAAACTTGAAGAGTATGATGCAACAGTTTATCACATTAGATAGATACTGAAACAACAGAAATACTATTATGGTAAAACGTAACAAAGTCTGATGTTTCCACAAAGTTTATTCATATATATTCACATAGCTAGGGAATTCCACTGGCTCAACACTCTCTGGGTGAAGAAATTTCTCCTCCTCTCAGTCTTATAAGGTTTACCCCTTAAATTATGACCCTGGTAGCAGACTCCCCCACCATTGGGAACATCATTTCTGCATCTAACCTGTCTAGTCCTGTTAGAATTTTATAGGTTCCTATGAAACCCCTCTCATTCTTCTAAACGTCAGTGAATACTATCCTAGCCAACTCAATCTCTCCTCATATGTCAGTCCTGCCAGGAATCCATTTGGTAAACCTTTGCTGCACTCCGTCTATAGCATGTACATCATACCCGAAATAAGGAGACCAAAACTGCACACACTATTCCAGGTGTGGCTTCAGCAATGCCCGAGATAATTGTAGCAAGACATCCTTGTTCCTGTACTCAAATCCTCTTGCTATTAAGGCCAACATATAGTTTGCCTTCTTTACTGCCAGCTGCACCTGCACACTTACTAACAGCGACTGGTGCACAAGGACACCTGGGTCTTTTTGAACGTTCCTGTCTCTCAATTTACAGCCTAATAATAATCTGTTACCAAAGTGGATAACCTCACATTTATCCACGTTACACTGAATCTGCTATGCATTTGCCCACTCACTCAGTCTGTTCAAATCACACTGCAACATCTCTGCATCCTCCTCACAGCTTTGTGTTAACTGCAAATTTTGACATCAAAAGAGCATAGCCGAGATCCAGCTGTAGAGGAAACAGGGGCAAGGACAAGGGATGGTTTTCTGTTCCACCCCTCACCTTCCTGATACCAGATTCAGTAATCAGACAGAGTCTGAAGTGAAGGACCACTCTGCCATCCCCTCCAGCCACCACACCTACCCAACTTGCTTGCAGCCTTCAGGAGCTACAGGATAACTGTGCAAATCCCTAAGCTTCCACCAAATTCTGGTGAGTGCTTAGATAATTGGTGCCAACTGGCTCATTAATCAGTCCAAACTACAGCCTCAGCCAGTGAATGAGTTTTTCACACCCTGAATTTAAGAACAGTTTTTTCATCTCCAAGAATCTGCTTTGGTGTACTTGTGCCTGATTCTCCTGTCCTACCTAAGGTATCATGCCTGCTCTGATGGACTCAATTAAATTTCCCCAAAGACTCGGAATGCAACTTTCATAAGAAGCAAAACGCTCTTTCAACAGACCTCAAAGGCTAAACTGTAAAAATGTACGCTTACAGCCCAGTCCTTCACCAGAAGAGATTTTTATAAATCATCAACAAGAAAGTGGTGTCACAGGTAAGGGTATAATTTGTTGTCCATCTCTAATTTACTTTGGAAAGGTGGTGGTAAGCAATATTTTGAATGCAACTCAATGCCGTATTCAACTACTTCAGAGGGCAGTTAAAAGTCAACCACGTTGTGGTAATCAAGAGTCAAATATAACTTGCTTCTTGTCCTAAACAACGTATTTTCATAGGCCAGACCTGAAAAGGTTGGCAGATTTCCTTCTCTAAAGCAAAGGTGGGTTTTTACAACAATCTGGTAGTTTCAGTATTTACTGATACCAACATTTTTTTCCAGTTTGATTTAATTAATTTAGTTTAAATTCCTCAGCTGTTCAATTATACCTCGGCTTCTAGATTGCTAGCCAGTACAATAACCCCTAAGATTATATATCAAGAAATTATATGCTCATATTCTGTAAAAGCAAAATACAACAGACTAAAAAACAGTGGGTGGTAGAGATACTCTGCAGATCAGGTAGCATCTGCAAATAGAGAAACAGGATTAACATTTAAAGTCAAATATGACTTTTCTTGAATTGCAGCCTATTGTATCTTGTGTTTTTGAAGTTTGCTGATCTCCTCCCTTACATTCTTAACACACATTGAGCGTGGGTTCCTCTGGGGGTGGAAGCGAATACTTGTCCAATCTACCATTAACCTCAAATACTAAAAAAGAATGAAGCACAGAAATGAACAGCAAGTCCATTCATAGCCGTAAGAAGATCGAGTGCCTAAATTTCAAATTGCTTGTCAGAATGCCACCAGAAGGGTGGCTGCTTTGAAACATAAGCAATCATTTATTTTTATATACATTATTGAACCTACCCAATACTTATGATGTAATCTCAGTATATAAATTTCATTTATATCAAAGTCCATAGGACTTTAAAGAGATAGCCAGCAAAATTTGACTTAAATTTTAATGGAAATTAAACCAGCTAAGTATTACATCAGGAATGAAGTCTTTGGTATGTACCACTAATCAAAGTTTTAAACTGATAATGGCAAGAGTAGCAATTGGTTTAAAAGTTAATATAGGCAAAATACTTTATTGCCAGATTCAAGTTTGTATTAAAACAAATATTTATGTGCAATAAATTGTACTAATATGCCATAATATATTGCTCAGAAATAGTATGCTGAGAGATTCTTCAAGTCATTATTCTTACTTCTTGAAAGTGAGAATCCATCCTTTAAAGAAGGCAGCTCTTCAGTCTTAAGTTTCTTTTTGACACATTTAAGAGGAAGTGAAGCACAGTTTCCTCAACAATAATAGCATCAT